TAAGAAGCATTTTTAAAAGGTGAGCAAGCCAGGGAGAGGAGGCCTTGGTCACACACAAAATTGTCAATGATGTTGGAGCCACAGAAGGACAGTCTGGAGATCAAAGTCACTGGGACAGCATATCCCAAGAACCCAGCAACCCAGCAACCAGCTACAAGCTTGGAACAGTTTCTTGGAGACATAACTGTTGGGTAGCAGAGTGGGTGGCAAATGGCTAAATAGCGATCCAAAGCCATGGCTGAGAGGAAGAAGCATTCAGTGCTGCCAAATGAGAAGAAAACATAGAACTGTAGGAAACAGGCTTGGAAGGAGATGGTCCCTTGAGGGGAAGCCAAATCAAAGATCATCCGAGGCATGGTGGTGGTTACGTAGCACATTTCCAACCAGGAGAAATTTCCCAAGAGGATGTACATGGGCAGCTGAGCTAAGTGGTCATTTACATGTACCAGAATGATAATAGTGGTGTTTTCAATCAAAGTTATTACGTATGTAAAACTAAAAAGAACAAGGAGATAGAATCGCTTTTCTTGTCCACTCTCCAAACCCAGTAAAATGAATTCCTGGACTGTGGTCTCATTGGCCAGATCCATCTGGAATCAGAAAAGGAATCAATATCAAACATTTTTCAAAATAGCACCATTCACATACATTTCTAATATTTGTCTCAAGAATCCAAACATGCTTTTTTGTTTTATTTTAATTTATTAGATTTTTATCCTGAGTATATTATTTTATAAGTAACACAAGGCAGTGAACATACATAATAGTTGTGTTAAATTTATGTTTTACATAAATTTATAGATTTATTTCAAGCTATTTAGATGAGTTAAATAGCTTGAAATAGATCTGTACTAGTCTCGCTTTATTTCTTTGTCAGTAAAACATAAATTTAACACAAAAATAGTTTGTCATGAAAGTGACTGCCTGCGAAGGCCCCTGGATTGGGGCTGAAGGGTGAAAATGGAAGCAGTATGTTCCTTCCCATATTTGGGTAGACAAGGTTGCCCTGACAGACCAGTCAAACCAGAGAAAAATACATAATTAATTGTCCTTCTGCCTTCTATTTTTCCTGGGCTGAGAGAGAGTGACTGGATCACTCTGGATCACTGGCTTTCATACCTAAGGAGAGACCAGAACCTTGATCACTATATCGAACTGGAACAGCCAAAATCTACAATTTAATTTAAGGCATTCAGTTTAGCTGCTAACCAGTTCCAACAACCCTGATGCCAAGAAGAAATCTCATAATTAAAAGTTTAGAATAAATATAGAATAAAATTAAACTTTTAAGCTTAAAATTCATTTAAAGAATAAATAAACTGTAGAATAAAGTTCCTACAAGAATTTTGGAGCAACTTAGAAAAGAGGATAGGAATTTTGGGAAATCATTTGTGGACCTTTCACAGAAGAGGCAAAAGGAAATCCTGTCGCTCAAAAGTAAAAGAGACCCTCATGATTGGCATTATAATGTCACTATCTTCTTATCACTTATTATTTTCAATATTATTACAAATGTATCATAGAAATTCAAGAATGAATATCATGAATATGTTAGCTCGTCTCTTAAAGGTAGATCTAAAAGATTTCCCTGGTCCAGTCTTGTCCAACTCTAGGGATGTGCTTATTTCCATTTCTTAGCAGAGAGAGCCAATATTGTCTGAAGACACTTCTGTGGTTATGTGGCCAGCATGACTTAAAACTGAGGTGCACAGAACACTATTACCTTCCCACTGAAGTGGTACTTTATCTACTCATATTTGCATGTTTTTGAATTGCTAGGTTGGCAGAAGCTGGGGCAAATAATAGGAACTTACCCCATCACATGGCACTTAGAACTTGAAGGATTTCCAGATAACAAACTCAGTTTCCTTAACTACTGAGTCTTCACACAGACCCAACTTACCCCTTAACAACACAGAAAGCAATATATGCAAACCTGGAAAACAGCAATAGCAATAGCACATCTACCTACCTATCTATCTATCTATCTATCTATCTATCTATCTATCTATCTATCTATCTATCTATCTATCTATCTATCTATCTATCTATCTATCCTTTCCATCCATCCATCCATCCATCCATCACTGTCTATCTGTCAATCAATTTATCATCTGTCCATCCGTCCATCCATCCATCCATCCATCCATCCATCCATCCATCCATCCATCCATCCATCCATCCATCTATCTATCTATCTATCTATCTATCTATCTATCTATCTATCTATCTATCTATCTATCTATCTATCTATCTATCTCACTCTCTTTACAATGTCAGAATATTTCCGCCAGACATTCTGGCTCCTCATTTTACTGACCTTGGGAAGTTGGAAGGCTGAGTCAACCTTGAGTCAGTCGGGAACAAACTTCTGGTTATGGGCAGGGTTAGGCTGCAAGGCAGCATTCTATCCACTGCGCCACTTTGGCTCCTATATCTTTTGATTACGACTGAGATTGAATTCAGAGATGGAGATACTAATGGGGGTGGGAGGCACAGGAGGTTTTGCAGGATTTAGAAGAGCTATACCCCAGGAAAGATTGTTGTGATGCAGTGAATAGCATCATTGGCATTTGAATCCTTGGATCACTTTAACATCCTCTTCAATGCAACATATCTCTTGAATCTATTTTAATCCAAATATGGGAAATGAAATATCACAAAACCTTTCCTGATGCAATTTACCAGCGAAGGAGAAGTCTCCATCATAAATGAAAAGAATTCAATCAGAATAGAGTTGAAAAGGACCTTGGAGATCTTCTAGTCCAACCCATTGCTCAAGCAGGGGACCCTATACTAATTGAGACAAGTGGCTTTCTAGTCTCTTCTTAAAAACTACTAGTGATGAAGTCCCTACAACTTCTGGAGGCAAGCTGTTCCACTGTTTTTATTTATTTATTTATTTTTATTTGTCAATTGCTTACAAGATAATAGGTATAAGTAAAAACATAGTTATGAATACATGGATACATATAAGAAAAATAAAAAAATAAAAAAAACAATATAAAAGAAACAATAGGACAGGGACGGTAGGTACGTTGGTGTGCTTATGCACACCCCCTACAGACCTCTTAGGAAAGGGGTGAGATCAATAGTAGACAGTCTAAGGTTAAAGTGTTTGGGGAAGAAACCACAGAGTCAGGTAGAGTATTCCAGACATTGACCACTCTGTTGCTGAAGTCGTATTTCCTGCAATCAAGTTTGGTGCGATGAACCTTGAGTTTGTATCTATTGTTTGCTCTTGTGTTGTTATGGTTGAAGCTGAAGTATTCATTGACAGGTAGGACATTGCAATGTATGATTTTATATACACTGCTCAAAAAAATAAAGGGAACACAAAAATAAGACATCCTAGATCTGAATGAATGAAATATTCTTATTAAATATGTTGTTCATTACATAGCTGAATGTGCTGACAACAAAATCACACAAAAATTATCAATGAAAGTCAAATTTAGCAACCCATGGAGGTCTGGATTTGGAGTTACACTTAAAATTAAAGTGGAAAAAAACACTACAGGCTGATCCAACTTTGATGTAATGTCCTTAAAACAAGTCAAAATGAGGCACAGTAGTGTGTGTGGCCTCCACGTGCCTGTATGACCTCCCTACAACACCTGGGCATGCTCCTGATAAGGTGGCGGATGGTCTCCTGAGGGATCTCCTCACACACCTGGACTAAAGCATCTCCCAACTCCTGGACAGTCTGTGGTGCAACGTGGCGTTGGTGGATGGAGCGAGATATGATGTCCCAGATGTGCTCAATTGGATTCAGGTCTGGGGAACGGGCAGGCCAGTCCATAGCATCAATGCCTTCATCTTGCAGGAACTGCTGACACATTCTAGCCACATGAGGTCTAGCATTGTCTTGCATTAGGAGGAACCCAGGGCCAACCGCACTAGCATATGGTCTCACAAGGGGTCTGAGGATCTCATTTCGGTACCTAATGGCAGTCAGGTTACCTCTGGCGAGCACATGGAGGGCTGTGCGGACCCCTAAAGAAATGCCACCCCACACCATTACTGATCCACTGCCAAACTGGTCGTGCTGGAGGACGTTGCAGGCAGCAGAACATTCTCCACAGCGTCTCCAGACCCTGTCACGTCTGTCACATGTGCCCAGTGTGAACCTGCTTTCATCTGTGAAGAGCACAGGGTGCCAGTGGTGAATCTGCCAATCTTGGTGTTCTCTAGCAAATGCCAAACGTCCTGCATGGTGTGGGGCTGTAAGCACAACCCCCACCTGTGGACGTTGGGCCCTCATACCACCCTCATGGAGTCTGTTTCTAACTGAGCAGCCACATGCACATTTGTAGCCTGCTGGAGGTCATTTTGCAGGGCTCTGGCAATGCTCCTCCTGTCCCTCCTTGCACAAAGGCGGAGGTAGCAGTCCTGATGCTGTGTTGTTGCCCTCCCACAGCCTCCTCCACATCTCCTGATGTACTGGCCTGTCTCCTGGTAGCGCCTCCATGCTCTGGACACTATGCTGACAGACACAGCAAACCTTCTTGCCACAGCTCTCATTGATGTGCCATCCTGGATGAGCTGCACTACCTAAGCCACTTGTGTGGGTTGTAGACTCCGTCTCATGCTACCACTAGAGTGAAAGCACCACCAGCATTCAAAAGTGACCAAACCATCAGCCAGAAAGCATAGGAACTGAGAAGTGGTCTGTGGTCACCACCTGCAGAACCATTCCTTTATTGGGGATGTCTTGCTAACTGCCTCTGCTTTCCACCTGTTGTCTATTCCATTTGCACAACAGCATGTGAAATGGATTGTCAATCAGTGTTGCTACCTAAGTGGACAGTTTTATTTCACAGAAGTGTGATTGACTTGGAGTTACATTGTGTTGTTTAAGTGTTCCCTTAATTTTTTTGAGCAGTGTACTATACTTAGATTAGACCAAAGGCGGAGTAGTTCTAGGTTTTCTAGGTCTAGAATTTCGAGTCTGGTGGCATAAGGTATTCTGCAACGAGTAGAGGAGTGGAGAACTCTTCTTGTGAAATATTTCTGGACTTTCTCAACTGTGTTAATATCGGATACATAATGTGGGTTCCAGACTGATGAGCTGTATTCGAATATTGGTCTAGCAAATGTTTTGTATGCTCTAGTTATTAGGGTAATATTACCAGAGAAAAAGCTACGTAAGATTAGGTTAACAACTCTTAACACCTTTTTGGTTATGTAGTTACAGTGGGCTCTAGCACTTAGGTCATTTAAGATGAGTACTCCAAGATCCTTGACAGAGTTTGGATCATCAACAAGGTCTTGACTATTCAGCCTGTATTTTATTTTCTGATTTTTTTTGGCAATATGTAGGACAGAACATTTATTTGTTGAAATTTGAAGTTGCCATTTGTTTGACCATTCTGACACATAGTCGAGGTCTTTTTGAAGGGTAGCAGTATTGTGGTATTTAATAGCTTAACATCATCAGCGAAGAGAACGCAGTTGCTCTTGATATGATCACAGAGGTCATTTATGTAGTGTATGAAAAGAGTTGGTCCTAGAACACTGCCTTGGAGGACACCACTGTTGACAGGTACAGAATTTGATAGGACGCTCCCAATTTTGACCATTTGTTGTC